CTCACTCATTTTATGTACACCCCTTAAACGAAAGAAGACATTGTAAGAAAAAAATAATGAAAGAAGCCAATTAGTTTGAATGCATAAATATGTTTACAAAAGTGGAAAAAAAAAAGAATCAAAAATGAAACAAATAAAAAAATCAAGCATGCTGAAATAAGAAAAAAGAAAAGAACGAAAAAAAAAAAAAGAAAAGAACGAAAGAAGAAAAAAACAGGAAGAAAGAAACAAACTAAAACAAGAAGGAAAAAAAACCAAGTCAAATTAAAAGAATAAGCAAAATTACAAGACGCAAAATCGAATATGAAAAAAAAATAAGCATCAAACACAGATACAAAATCAAACAAGAAAAAAAATAATAAGTATAGATACAAAACTTTAACAAGATAAAAAAAGAATAAACAATATGAAAATATACACATATAAATATATATATATATATATATTCTAAATAAAAAATTATTAAATTTGACAAAGATATCAAAACATATCAAAAATAATAAAAATTCATATAACAAACATGAAATCAAACATAAAATTAAATTGAGAAGTAATACTAAACTTTATCTCACTAAAAAACTTCATATTCAAAAAATGCTTTGGTGAGTGCATGAGAAGAAATAAAGAATGCAACCCTAATTATGACAAAATATAAATTGGGTTTACTTATTAAAATAGGTATATGTAGTGTGGGGTGGATTTAATTACTAATAAGGTGAATATAAAAATTGTGAAGTTAGTAGTTTGATAATGAGAAATTAAATGGGGTGAGAATGAAGATTTATGGGGTGGAAATAGCCCCACTCATTTGATATAAGTTTGAGTCAAAGGTTGGAACAAATTTTTTAAATTTTCTTTCTCAAAATTAAATTTGAGCTAGGATTAAAGATTCTCTAAGTAATTTTTCAAGTTGTATTTGTTTTTGTATATTTTTATGTATAGTTACCAAAAAAACTCACACCCCTTCACTAGTCTCTATGCCAGACATTCCTTATATTATTGCAATGATTTAATGGTTCCCGATGAATTAGACGAACATCTATGACTAAAAATCATTGTTGATTTTCTACGCAAAGAAAATTCGGGTGCTATATGAGTACTAAGGAAAGCTAGTCGTCTACACTAGGCATGCATGCTTCTAGCAGAAAAAGCAACCTCAAGAAAAGCCAGCCACTTCGTCTAGTTAAAGTTGGAAGTGTGTTTGTATCAAATAAAACTCAAAAAATTTAAATTTAAATGTATATTATTTTTTAAATAAGTGGGTCTTATAAATTTTTTCAATGAAATCTATTTATCTAACATTTATTCGAGAGATAATACGCATTTGAAATGTATGTTTTTAAATTTTATTTAAATTGTATAACATTTCTTTATAGAATATGACTTTATCCAAAAGGCTGATGATCCCATCATGATGCCTGCAACAACATTTACATAAAATGCTTTGTTTTTGTTTTCCTGCTTCTCATGTTCATGAATTTTTGGTGTAGCTTTCGTCATTTCTGCTGGAAGGTTAAGAGGAGGGGCCTCTAGACCAAGATGGAGCCGTGCAAAACGGTAGCCTCAGGAGATGTCAAACCCTAGCCAGCTAGCTAGCATATAGTGATGAGGATAATTTTATGTGGTCTCTATGCATTGATTCTTTAGAACCCTATCTAGCCCCTGCAATCGATAAGGTATATATGATTTGAGAAATCAAACAATCAGAACTTTTGATGAGTTGATCCATTTGAATTGATAAGTGTATTTTAAAGGGGTACTCTTTTTTGTAAGGCTTGCCAGAGTTTGCTATTCCTTCCATTTCTCTGGCATTCTTCTGCAAGCTAGCTCATTAAACATGAAACCTTCATAACCTATCCCACACACACCCTCACACCCTCATCATTTCAATAGATTGTGGATAGGATCATCAGTGCATGTTTGAAGTACAATCAGGGACGATGGGATGCTTCATCAGTGGAGAAGTAAGTACGGATAATACTTCCAAGGAGGTAATGGAGGACACCATGATGTGGGTGACGCACGCGATGTGCAAACAAGACGCAGCAAAGTTCTCTTTTCCCTGCACTATCACAAACTTCTATGAATGCAAAAAGATTTCTAATGCACTACCACCATTGTGTCCTTCAAATAGTCCCACAGGAGCAAGAAGTGGGGTTCTGTCACTACCCAACTGAACGCGTTGTACCTTGTCGTGTTTTGACACTATTTTAAGTACTATTGTATTATAATTTTTTTTTCTGTTTATACCCAACTCATCTATAACCGTCTATGTATAAATTCCTATTGTATGTAATTGATCCATTAAAATTACATATAATCCTGTTAATTTTGTGTCGTTTGTGTCCAATGTTATCTTAGATTGGGGATTTTTTGAAAAGGAAACGAAAGATTGGCGAGGATGCGGCGAGCACCAACCTCAACAGTGGTACATGAGTTAAAGATGTCGATACTGACGTCGATTTTGCTTTCTTTCTGGATAAGTATGTTTCCTGACAGACATTCACTTGGAGCATCTCGAATTGATTGTATGGTTGAGATTCTTTCTTCTCTGTGACCACAAAAGTTTTGCTGATATCAGAGGACAAGAAAGAGACTAGCTCTCTCATTCCTTGTAATCCATTCTCTGGTCATCTTAATATGCTAATAAGAAATAACGAATGACTTTATCTTAATCGGGGTTGCGAATGACTTTTTGATATTTACAACTTGACTCGTTTTATCTTTCTGACGTTATTTGATATCCACTAGATTGTCACTAAAAAAAAAAGTCAAGGGTTTTTTCATGTTTTACGCATCATACTTTTTTATTTTGCTGGAGGTATCTAGTCTTATGCCACTACTCTTCAAATTCTAGGTCCGTAACTACACATCATACTTTATTCTCAAAATAAGAGAACAAATATGATTAACCCAGTTTTCTCAGGCACTTGTTAAGGCAGGAATAAGATTTTGTTTTTTCTGCCGGGGGACAAAGAACTATAGCAAGTGGACTATCCATGATCACGAACTTGATACCAATATAATAGTCTAAATGATCGCAATATTCATATAGAATATACGTTCTGAGTTTCAACACAGTACTGGTCTTCTTTGTGTGCTATACTGTATGGGCAGTAGGCACCATCCTATACTGATAATCACCCTCTATAAACCGAGAAAAGTACGCTTAAAAGTTTCAATTCATCACGAACGCTACCCATTAGTGCATGCTGGATGATATTTAGTTGTGACTAAGAATTGTGCTACATTATATAGACTGCTTTATAATCGTCCCCTAGCAATGAGGTAGCAGAAGCCAGTACTTGATCATTCATTCCATGAAACAAAACATTTCCTTTTCCCAGTCTTATCATGTTTTTATGTAAATGTTGATTGTCGATGTGTATTAAAACCTTTCCTGGTGGTAAATGTTGACTACATAAATTTAAGAGTAATGCAACTGACCAAAGAGTAGCAATATGGGTAATCAGTGTTTGTAAAATATGAAAAAAAATAAAAATAAAAATAAAATAAAATAAAAAGGTGTTTGTAAAATCGACCCGACCTAGAATGACAATTGAGATCTCTCACATTATACTGTGCTTTAATTTTTTTCAATGCTTGATAACTTGTAATAAATCTAAGTGGAATTCACCATCTATAAGTGAGCCCCTCATGCATCCTTAGAAATTTATATATTATTAAGTAAATTTTACAATTAAATCACTTATCCCCGAGTGTATCTTCACAGTTAGTATACAATATTCAATGAAAAATCAACTATTATATTTTTCAAATAATACATTGATTGAATCCCAAAAGGATGAAGAACAATCCAAAAAAATGCACAATAAAAACCCAAAAGAGGAGGGCTTAAGAAATTAGGCATTGTCTTTGGTAATGAAGGGCCATTTGATACATTGATTAGTAAAATCTTGAAAAAAATTAAAAAGTGGCTGTAGACATTAAAAAAAAAAATTAAGTAACAAATTAATGTCTATAATTGAGCCCAAATCAATTAGATAGATGAAATTGGGTTAAACCTAAGTTTCATAAGCCCAAATGATACAAATATAAATTTAATTAAATATGTTTGAGTTTAAACTAAATTTTACAACCCAAATAGTACAAGCCTAAACATAATTAACCAATCTTGTTAAATTAAAATGAACTTAAATTTTATAGCCTAAATTAAACAAACTTTTAAAGGTAAAGTGGGTTGGACTTAAATTCCATAAATTCACTAAAGCCTACTAATTTATGGATAGTCTACTACTTAAAGCCCATATAAGGGTATTCACGTAAAAATATTCTTCTATGAATAACTACTAGGATAACTACTCTTAAAACTATAAATAGAGATCTAGAGGAGGGCTAAGAAAAGAAGAAAATAAGGAGAAGAAGTCAAAGAGGAAGAAAGATCACTCAAAGTTCACTTTTAACTAAAGCCTTACAAGTTTATCTCCGAGAAGAAGAACATACCATCAAGGTCCTTGTTAGAGAAATCTAAATTATCTTCAAGCCATTTTCAAAACGAATAATGGTGAAGAGATTCAAAAAAAAACATCATCAAATTAAAGAATGAGATATACGTCGATCCAACTCTCGTGTTCATCAAATCTATCAAAGTTGCCACCCATTGAAGATCAAGAAACACGCCAATCAGTTTCTCATCTACACCAAATTCACCAGAAATCAGAGTACAATACATGTAAAAAGCACGATGAAGAGAGTCAACACTATATCTTTTACTTCAAGTCAATTAAATTAACTATTTTAATCTGATCTTATTTTGTGTTAATTTACACACGAAATTTGTCGTTACAATGACCAATTAAGCTAGGCCACATTAATTATGAAGTTGGCATGTTAGCGACCCTTAAAAGCAAGGAATTTTTTGCAGGGGGTCACATTTGAAAATAGAATCAATATCAAGGATCGCCTCTGCTAGGATACCAATCATATGGAAAGAGACACCAATTTTGAGAATACAAACAATTCACTCTATATATAGACCCATGGGTTTCAAGACTATACACCACAAGTTTTTTGAGTGCAACTCAGGTGCCTTCTCCTGTTACCTTCAGATGTTTTGCCATTCATTTCCAAATATAATGGATGGGAAGAAACTAGAGTACAAAGGTGAGGAGGCATTAAAGGAGCTGGAGACCTTAACAGCGAGAGCTGATGAGGTTCAAGAGTGTCTTTTAGAAGACATACTAACAAGGAATAGGAAGACTGAGTATCTGCATAACTACTTGTTGGGATCCAAAAGTGTAACAGAGTTTAAGCGTTGTGTACCAGTTATCACATATAAGGGCATTCGTTCTTATATTCAGAGGATCGGTAATGGTGAAGATTCTTCTCTTATTACCGGTCACCCCATCACTGAGATGCTATGCAGGTCTCTCTCTGTCTCTATGTCTGTGTCTGTGTGTGGTTCATTGCTCCGCTTTGTTGTTTCTGTTAATGTTTTTCATGGTTTAACTTCATGTTCTTCTGCATTTCAGCTCCGGAACGTCTGCTGGAGAACCTAAGCTGATGCCATCAATTGCAGAAGATCTAGATCGTCGAACCTTTCTATATAACCTCATCATGCCGATAATGAACCAGTAAGATGTTTATTTGCATTCAGCAATTTCTTTCAACTGATATTCAGTTTTCTAGGTTGTGTTGATTTTTCCAGTTAAAGGAACAAAAAATGTGCGTAACTCCGCTTGATTGCATACCGAAATGAATAACTTCTCGATAATTAATCTACTTCAAGAGAGGTGGACTCTAACCTAAGTCTCTTTGATCACTAGTTTACATCTTACATACACCTACTTCTGCCATAATGATTTCATAGTCTTTTTTTTTTGGATCGATTAAGTTATTAAGTTTGATTTCTTATAAGAAGTTATAACAAAATAACAATAAAATTATGGTGCGATCTATTGAAGTTACGATTACTTTTGAGTGCAGTTATAACCCTAAAAGATTAATTAGTGCTACAAAATGTTCCGATTAATTCTAATCTTTTACAATCGATTCCTAACAATTTCACTTTGTCACCACCTCACAAATGTAAACTTTGTCCTCATCATTGTCTATACCAGATATGTCCCCGGTCTGGATGAGGGTAAGGCTATGTACCTGTGCTTTGTCAAGGCAGAAATGTCCACTCCTTGTGGCTTACCTGCTCGGGCTGTTCTAACCAGCTACTACAAGAGCAGGCACTTCAAATGCCGCTCAAGAGACCCCTACAACGATTTCACCAGCCCCGACGAAGCCATTTTGTGCGAGGATAGTCATCAAAGCATGTACTGCCAGTTGCTCGCCGGCCTCCTCCACCGCTACCAAGTCCTCCGCCTCGGAGCCGTCTTTGCCTCCGCTCTTCTCCGCTCCATCTCCTTCCTCGAACACCACTGGATCACCCTCTGCAACGATATCCGGTCTGGCCATTTGGACCCCATGATCACCGACCCGAAATGCCGATCAGCCATGTCAGTCATACTCGTATCACCGGACCGACAACTAGCCGACGAGATTGAGGCCATCTGTGGCCGTCCATCGTGGAAGGGAATAGTGTGTCACCTTTGGCCTAAGGCTAAGTACATTGAGGCTGTGGTGACAGGGTCCATGGCACAATATATATCATCTCTTGAGTACTATAGTGATGGGAAGTTGCCATTGGTGTGCACCATGTATGCTTCATCTGAGTGTTATTTTGGTGTGAATTTGAAACCCTTATGTGACCCTGCGGATGTGTCATTCACTCTCTTGCCCAACATGGGTTACTTTGAATTCATACCTTTGGGAGATAATGGAACACTGTTAATGGATATGGATGAAGATGAAGAGGTGCCCCCCAATAAGCTTGTCGACCTGGTGAATGTTAGACTTGGTTCTTACTATGAATTGGTGGTTACCACTTTCTCTGGTAAGTATAATGATTTTTTTTTTTGGGGTAAGCTTTTGATTATCTATGGTCTAATCTAATGAGTAACACACACATATTATCTTTCTACTTTAAAAATCTACATATAACTCTTATAGTTTTAGATTAAACTGACACCGTTAAATAATTCTATTACTAACGACAAATTAAGTTAGCATTTAATATTAAGTAATACTATTTACACTTAAAAATTTGATATAATTTGTTGACTTAATGATGTAATTTCAGTGAATTTATTAAATTAACATTAAGTTTTAATGTTTGATAAAGACCACAATCAATCCAAAAAATATAGTATTTTAGGTCAACAAATTAGATCAATAAAATAAGTTTGCATTGCTCGTAAATATTTCCATGTTAAATTACGTTTATATTTATTTTTCTGAGATATTCTGTAGTTCGTATTGTAGATTTTTCAATTCATATAGAATTAGAAAACCTAAAAAAATAGGGAAAGCTGAAGGATACTGATGTTTTTTGTACTAAATTATTAAACTCCATTAGTTGTTATACTCTAGCTTAAATCACATGGAGATATTATATGGGTTATCCTTTTTTTATAAATTTATTTTCTGTTGGATTTCGTTCTATGCTTAAAAACTTGTATCAAAATAAAGCTCTATTTTTGGTGGATTAATCAATCAGGACTTTATCGGTATCGCATTGGTGATGTGCTCCAAGTGACAGGATTCCATAATCGAGCCCCACAGTTTCGTTTCATCTGCAGGAGAAACGTCGTTCTCAGCGTTGATAACGATAAAACCAATGAAGAAGACCTACACAGGAGCATCACAGTGGCAAAGAGACTCTTGGAACCCTACAATGCCCTCCTGGTGGAATACACTAGCTCTGCCGATACATCATCTGTACCAGGGCACTATGTGATTTACTGGGAGATCACACATTGCACATCAATGGCAGACAAGGTCACCCCTGTCGATCCCGGGGTGTTTCAAGATTGCTGCATAACCATTGAAGAAGAACTTGATTATATCTACAGGCGCTGTCGGGCTCACGACAAGTCCGTCGGGCCATTGGAGATTCGAGTAGTGAAGCCCAGGAGTTTTGAATTGTTGATGGATATGTTAATCAACCAAGGAGGGTCAATTAACCAGTATAAAACTCCAAGGTGCATTAAGTCTAGTGCTGCACTTAAACTGTTGAACTCCAATGTGAAGGCTAGCTTCTTTAGTCCTAGGGATCCTTCTTGGACCCCTTGAATTTGCAACTAGAATAATGAGAATGACCCAATTTTCCTTCACTTGGATTTGTGTTCTGGGACTTAATAAATGATCATTTGATTCAGAAGCATCATTTGCCACTCTTGTCCTCTCTGCTGCAATATTCTATTTCTTTTCTTTTTTCGAGCGTTAAAAGTGTCCACATTAATTTACGTGCACTTCGACTAATTTTATCTTCGATTTAGTTAAAAACAGACCATTTACATTGAGACTAAAGTATTCATGAGAGATAAATTTCTTATGTCCTGGCTCTAAAAAATTACCAAGATTTGAATTCAAATATCTGAATTTACAATTTGCCTCTATTACCACTTGAGCTATACCTTTAAATTTGCGATACTCTATTTCAGACTATTCCATGGTTGTCAATTTTTTCCGTAGACATTGACCAACTCGACACAAAACGATACAACCAACAAATGGAAATTAATAATAATTTAATCGGGTTAATTGTAACTGCAAATAATTCATTTAAATGGTACTGCACAAAAAAAATAATTTTTTTTATAGTATTCATTTATTGATGTAGTCTCGTATGACCTAGTGGTCAGTGTCTTTCCGCTTTATCTCCTAGTGCAAAGTGCGAATCTCATCAAGTCCCTCTCCCTGTATGAATAGTGACCAAAAAAAGACTATGGACCCTCTTCCCTCAACCGCATTACGCTATGTACTTCATCAACAGTTAGGCCTTCAACCTGGTGATTTTCATGTTTTCTTGTAAGAGATTGTACATGATGTGGCATAAAGTAAAATGGGTAAAGATGGTCTGAACTTTGAAGAGCAGCAAGCAGCGGAAAGTAGCGCACCAATGTTCAGAAATTCATGTACTCATATCATCCTCAGACAAAATACAACATCATGACTGTTGTGGCAAAGAAACCCACATACTGAACAGCATACAAGAATGCTTTCCTGCTATATTCTAACTTCAAATGTGCAGCACGTTATTGTGAAGTGAAAAACTTGAGATTGTTTTAGCGCTCGATTGCACGTTTGGCACCATCCAAGGTATTCTTGAGCAGCATTGCGACGGTCAATGGTCCCACACCTCCTGGAACTGGTGTTATCCATCCAGCTACCTTACATGCTTCCTTAAAATCAACGTCTCCCACAAGTCTGTAGCCAGATTTTTTACTCTGATCATCTATGGCATTTACCCCGACATCAATAACTGCAGCACCGGGTTTGATCCAGCTGCCTTTGATCTGAGAATTGGATAGTTAAATCAGTCAAACGTACTCATAATGAAGAAATAAATCAAGCTTGTATGCAAAGCTAAAAATGCAGCTTTTGGAGTGGGCTATGATGTAAATATCATCCAGTTACCCATTGCCAAACCAATGATGGCAATGTTGCATCTGATGCATACAGGAAGGTGGCTCCAGAACATGAGGTTCTTAACTGAGAATAGTGTTGTCTCACTATCTATGATAGGAATCTACCACTGCTTTGTATGACATACTAGGTGGAAACAAATCAAAGAGCTGAATTTTCATGAAACAAATGAGGAAATGAACAATACTAAATTGCAAACAGAGACAACAGTGTCATCATAAACCAAGGAACAATCAATCCTATAAACAGTTTTTAGTACCATCATTGCTTGTCCTGCTGCAGCAATAACGATATCTGCTTCCCGAATGATACTCTCTGGATCAGGAGTATGGGAGTGGACAACAGTAACTGTGGCATCTGCCTTCAGAAGTAGCAGCGAAACTGGTAATCCAACTATGTTGCTTCGACCCACCACTACTGCCTTCTTTCCCTTTACACTAACACCACTTCGTGCCAGAGTTCAAGACATCCCTGTTGACAATCATTATTTCATAAGACCAAAGGTGGTATTTAAGTTACAACAGGTATGACACATTTAAGAATCTCTTGAACCAAAAGGTTTGTTTCACACAATAGGTTAAAGACGTTCAGCTCAGAGTGAGCACATCAAATTGTTTCATATTAATATATTGCCTTTGGGGTGCAAGGAAGGAACAGAGGTTCTCTGCCTTTCATAGCAAGTTTGCCAATGTTCAGAGGATGAAAGCCATCTACGTCCTTCTCAAGGCTGATTTCACTTAGAACTTTCTCTTCATTTATATGATTTGGTAGTGGAAGCTGGATTAATATACCTGCAGCAAACAAAACATGCCATCAAGATTTTCTTGCTTACAACCATGGCTTAACCAGGTATTTCAATTAAAACGAAAGGCAATTCATAAAACAATGAGCTTGAGCATGTATGTCCCAGATGCCATAAAGTTTTTGTTTCAATACCTGCTTAAATGGATAAATTGTAGCTTTTCAGGATAATAGAAGAAACTAACAACATTTGGCCAATCTCAAGTCTTACCAATATTTGAAAAGGAACAAGAATTATATAGAGATAGAGGTAAAAAGTCTCACAACACTGATAGATGTCGGTATTATACAACAATCCTTTATGCATATGTGCGACAAGGTTGGTTTTGCAGATATGATGTGTATCAGTAAACAAAAACTTAATCCACACACATATAACTTAGACCAGAAACTGCCAACTATAATTGCCAGGTAATTGTTGATAGTTTTAAGTTTATATAAGCGTATGAGTTTGACCACTGCATGGTTAATAACAATTTTTATGACAATATTCATAAAATGTAGTTTGACTTTGACAAACAGATGTTTTCTGGTATAGGCCAAAATAATTGTGGAAGTGATTAAAGTTCTTCTCAAAATGGACAGTATTGCAATTCAAGAAAGTGGCTCCTAGAAATAGAATATATATGAGGCATGCTTAAGACACTTTGACCCTGAGGTCAATGTGTTGCCTGGAAAGTCACAATAGGCGTGGGATGTAATGTGACACAATCCTGCAACATCAATAAAATACTTTACTCCCATATAAGGTGATGTTTCCAATTTAAATTCTAAGTAATGGCTTCAGCTAGATGATGGAATCGTGCCAATGGTACACAAAAATAGCTAACTATATGTAACAAAATAATTTAGTTGCCCAAAACTTATTAATTTAGAGATAATAAGTGGAGTAATTTGCCAAAAAGAAATTAGACATGTAAAGAACATACAGAATGCAGAAGATATTCACAGATATGTTACTTCACACTAGGTAAAAATGATAAGCAGCATATAAATTCGACATCTGTTTTTACTACTAACTAACCAACCGTGTACATCAGCTTGTGCATTCAGCTCGTGAACTTTGGTGATCAACTCGGCTTCAGGTACTTGCTCTGGCAGATCAATATCAAAGGACTTAATCCCAACTTCAGCACATGCCTTTCTCTTCATATTCACATAGCTTTGAGAGTCCTTCCTATTTCCTACAATGACTACAGCCAGCCCTGGAACCTATAATTTCAGGCAAGAGCAACATTATGTTGACCATTTATTCCATGTAAAACACACAATCATATGTAATTTAAGTGTCTTGAGTCAACTCTGAAGGTTGGGTGCAGAAGCATTGCTTCTACTTTATGCTTCCACTACATGTCCCCATATCCAAATCCTTAAGGATAGATATAATTTAAAAAACATACGGTTTAAAACATATGCGTAAGTTTTTTTAAGAAATCTGTACTAGTTGAAAACTTCTGTCTTTGATTACTCAAATGCCTACTTACAAACCAATAGCTCAATTTCTCAAAGGGTTAATGTATGAATAGTCAACTGTATCGTGGCGCAAATGACGAGGAGCGACATCAATTCAGGAAAAGTTAAACTTTATATAAAGCAGACATAATCCGGTAAAGGTGCTAGGACATCTCCAATCCTTACTCAAATTGAAATTTGAGTAAAAATTGATTAAAAATAAGCTCCAGTCTTTGACTCAAACCTATACCAAATGAAGGGACATTCAAATTTTTATTCAAATTAAGAGAGACTCAAATCTTTAATGGTTAGATTTCACTCTTTAAAAGATCCAATTGTCATATTTCAAATTCTTTTAAATTTGAGTTTGCTCTAGTTTAAATTTGTATTTGCCCTTCTTTAAATTTGAATTTGTTTATTAGAGTGTGTTGTATCAAATCAAATTTTTTTCCTCAAAATGTTAACTCAAACTTGAGTAAACATTTGAGTCAACATTGGAGATGCCCTTATGAATTATATTCACTTCATCACCATGTTCAATGTATAAGTGTATATCAAATCCCATAAAAAAAAAAAAAAAGAGTCAAAAGCCAATTCCACGATAGTTCAATCATGCTTCCAAAGTTAGAAATGTGCACATGTGAGAATTAATTTCATGTTATGTGAAAATCCTTTACGGAAGATTGACAAACAGAAATTAAATCCGTATGGCTATACTAAATGGATCGTTTAACAATACTTATCAACTGTATCATGAGATGCAGTATCACGATTTTATGCCAATTTTTGTTCAGGAAAAAGAATTTCGAATGAACTAAAACTCAGCAGCTCATAAATCATCAAGCTATGCCATATACAAATCAATAAGTCATAGCAGCATAAACACACACACACACACAGAGGACCTTGCTGTAATTCTGGGAAAGAAGGCGGACTTGGGAGGCAATTTCAGATCGGATGGTCTGTGCGATTGCTTTGCCGTCGATTATGGTGGCCTTATGATCAGACGGCAA